AGGAATCGCCTTGTCTGAAACCTCGTTTGGTATCGAACGGCTCGGAGAGGTCCTTCCCGAATCTGACGGAGCTTTTGGTGTTGCTCAACGTCAGCTTACACAGCCGTATTAGTTTTGTGGGGATACAAAGATCAGACATCGCGGCGTAAAGGCAGCTCCTTTTCGTGCTGTCGAAAGCAGCTTTGAAATCGACGAAGAGGTGGTGAGTGTCGATTTTCTGGTCGGTTGTTGATTTTCCAGGTCTGAAGCCACACTGATAAGGTCCAATCAGTTTATTGACGGTGGGCTTTAATCTTTCACACAATACGCTCGGTAGAACCTTATATGCGGTATTGAGGAGGCTTGTCACACGGTAGTTGGCGCAGATTGTGGGGTCTCCTTTTTTGAGGATTGTTCATAGCACACTTAACTTCCAATGGTTGGGCATGCTTTCGTCCGACCATATTTTACAAAGAAGCTGATGCATGCTCGTTATCAGCCCTTCGCCGCCGTGTTTGTATAGCTCGGCCGGCAATCCATCGGCCATACAAGTATGCAAGGAATATTAAACAGATGAAATATATGCATTTGTATACAGTTGTGAGAAATAAAATTTAATAGAAGCGAGTTGGGTTAAGTTGTTATTGATGGTTAATCTAGAAACTATAGTCCTTTATAAATGTGCTGAAATAATAGCTTTGCTTGTTTCCTTATGCAACTTCTTGTTGGAACCAAAGACCGTCGATATTAACATCGTTTAAATTAGGCACGACAATATCATTAATCAAGGTATTTTAATATTCCACCTTGACGGTAACTTTATAGCAACCTTCGTTTTTGAAGTAATATGTCTTTGATTCCCACAAAGAGTGACTTTTTGAGTATGTAAAGGGATCTCAAGATTTTTTGACTAATTTACCCAAAAGTGAGCTTCAGCGCAAAATGAAATTCTCCTGTGAAATTAAAATTCGGCAGCCAGCTCGTTTTTGTCCGTTTTTTTTTTGTTTAATTTTGCCATAGGTATATTGCCTTCGATAACAAATATAGTTAATAACAAAATGGAATTTTGAAAAATGGGCATTCCATTCCACCTTTTGTTTACTCTTTGGCTTAAGTTAAATTGTAAGAGGCACCTTAATTTGTTTTAAACTACACAGGAAAAATCCCAGTATTTGTGAGCGGCTATCAAATCCTCGTTTAGCATACGAAAATAAAATAATTCTGTCATTTGCTGTATCTAAATCTAAACATGTTTGTTTTTTCTCATTTTTTCAGAATTTATATGTGTTTTGTGTTGCTTCGATGGCGTAAAAATCGTGTGTAAAATTATATTTTTGCCATTTTTTCTGCCTTTAAAGCGCTTTCAATTGACAGTAAATACTGTAGTATTCCGATATTGGCGGTTCAGATGAATTACTAGTTTTCTGAGGGGATATGTACATGTGTACCTATTTACAGACATATCGACTGATGGACATGAATAAAGCGGCTCAGCTCGTTATTCTAATCATTTGTATACACATACGTACTATATTTATACAATGTATAGGGTATCCGTAGGTTTCTTCTATATGTCAGAAAATTCGTGACAAACGTTATATACCCTGAGCAGGGTATAAAAAGCGAAAATATCAGTATTCAATATGAAGAGTTGCATATTTTTTTACTAACAAAAGCACCCAATGCTCAACTCAAATAAAATAAGAAATAAAGAGTTTGACAGCACTGCGGTATTTCTAGTCAGTTGCCGTCAAAAATATAATAATTGGGAACTCATTTAATTTGGTAAGTGCGTATTTAGAGAAAATATGCAGCAAATATATTCTTTTGTATTTGTATTTTCGAAATACTATTAAGACTTTTTATATATTATACCGATAATCTTTATTTTATTTAAATGTCCATTTCATATGCCGTTAGCGCTGTTGAAGAGAGATGCATGTATACGTATGTTATTTATTATATATGGTATGTAGGTATATAGGTATTTTTATTTTACTTATCTCACTCAATTTCAATTGGCAATTACAACTTCCTCTGCCTTCTACCGATCTCTAGTCCTATCTGTCATACTAAACTATCACATATACCATACTTTATCAGTTTGTGTACTGAAGGGTAATAATAAAGAAGTGACCATTCTGACAGACAAAGCCGATGTAAATCAAAACACACAAAAACTGAAAAAGGTACGAGTAAAGTTACAAATTCTTTGTCATAAGCTTAAGCACCTTTGCTCATTTTCTTCTGAGTTGAGAAGGAGGGAAATGGGATGTTGCCTGGCAACTGGTGCTGAGTTTGTGCCCTTTTTTGTTTTTAAGTTAAAATATTTCTTTTGTGTACGCAAAGAGATGCTATCCTCTTCATTAATGTTTTTCACCTATATTCAGACGTTTGCTGCATACAATTTAGACGTTTTATGTTATTTTATTTATGATTTGCTTTTTTCTTTGTTTTTGTAAATATTATGTTTTGTTGAATAAAACTTTTATTTTTGAATTTTCTACTTTCATTTTCATTTCAAAATTAGTGTTATGTTAATTTCAATTAACTCTTTACCCAGTTTGCGAATTTATCAGCATGATTCAAGTAAA